ATAAAATAAGAATAATATATATCATTTATATAGCGCATTTTAAAAAAAAGTAGCTCAATGCGCTTTACATTGGAATACCCATTGGTATCATCTTAAAGCTTGTTCGTATGTCTTGCTTTGATCGGCGAAAAATTAAATACCTACCCATTGTGAAATCATCACAAATTAGCGAGAAATTGCGGTGGCGAAGTTTGGTGACTTACGAAGCTTGAGAGGCCTAGGAAACTATACCTTCACATTTTTGTGCGACTAGTCACCGTATTTCAGTAAAATTCCGCATGGAAATGTGTTTTGAAATGGACATAACAAGTGTTGAGAAAAAACCCCCAACACACACACACACACACACACCCCCACACATAGACACACACATACACACATACAAACACACACACACACACACACACACACACATACACACACACACAGGACACGCACACACACACAACTAAAATAAGATCAAAATTGCCAAACCGGCGGGAAAGACCCGATTTCGTAGATTTCATTGTTTTGGCGAGCACCTGATTTACCCACAATGTCTCACAATATTATTTTAGAAGAAGTATTTTACGCCCTCTTTGACACGATTTTACACTTTTTAGGAGACGACCTCTTTTTACCCCCGCCTGTCTGCGCGACCCGGGTGTGACCTTTGGACACTGCAGACAGACAGACAGACAGACAGACAGACAGACAGACAGACAAACAAACAGACAGACAGACAGACAGACAGACAGACAGACAGACAGACAGAGGTGATCCGTAAAAATAACAACTCCCCCCACACGGTGACCCAACGAACCCCCTCTTTGTGAAGCAGAAAAGAGCTTAAGCCCTACGCTTCCTTAGAATTACAAAGCCCTATCTGCTCTGTACCTAGATCTACCTTTTAGGAAATTGGATGTCAAAGCTATGGAGTTGCACAATATTTTGTCAAGCTTTTTCGAATGCAGTTCTTTGAATGTCTTGATGACAACTCCGAATAATCTTGCGATTTTAATAGAGCAGATACAACATTTGGTTTCTGATCTCGTGGTCTTCGAAACTCAAAACGGCCCAAAAATGTCAGATAGAACTTTGTAATTCTGAGGTAGTGACTCCTCTGCATACCTCGGTCATTTTTAAGTCGTAATCCTTGCACAGTCCACGTCAAGAGTGTTGTTATAACAGTATAAAAAAGACGCGTGTATGTGTATGTGTGTGTATGTGTGTATGTGTGTGTGTGTGTGTGTGTGTGTGTGTTTGTTTGTGAGTGT